GTGATAGTGGACTTACGTTGCATCTACCGTACTCGCTCTTCACTCACCAACTTGTGCTCGGTATCAAGACGAAGTCGAAAAAACCGGATCGGGCGCAGGTGTCAGGCGCGGCGTGAACCTGCCCCTATGTATGTTGCCACACTCTAATTTACGGCATTTGTTATGGGATTGCTTCCGGGATAACGCCTGTTATGTCTGGATCTAGCTGCCTTATTGGCTCAGCGCATCTATATTATATAGGCTGTTTAGAAAACTATGTATCACCGCTTACTCGTCAACATTTATGTTTGTTTTACCGGAAAATCACCCTAACCCCTGGTATCCATGTTAACTATTCTTGGCATACGAAAATTCATGGTTAGTTTTCATGGGGCTACTGTTCGCATGGAAACGTGTAGAACATATTTGCACCCTTAAATATCCGTTCGCATATAAGGCAACACTTACGTACAGTAATCACAATACCTCCTTGATCCGAACATCTCAAAATAATCCTTGTTCAGCCTTATTGAGGTCTTCCATGGAATCGAATTTGAACGACTTATGTCGGCATTTCAATTGGCGCGGACCATTGAAATGCCATTTCACGGTAGCTCTTAACTTTCGATTTATTATTGTTACATATTTCACGAGCTTTATAATTCCTATTTTAGTCTAAGATCCGTCCCTGTCTCATTGATTCGCCTACTCAATGCTGGAATTCGTTCTGCCGGTATCCCGTGGGGATCTTCTCACAGCCACCACAACATCCTATGCTGTTAACGAGACATGTTCAGTGCGTGGCATAATATCTAAGGTCCAAGGTACGTTGCCGCCTTTGAAGGTTGAAATGTTGGTCCACGTTCGGTTATTAATGTTACAAATATTTATATATAATGTTTCATCATGTATTTTTTAACTGAACCATGGCCTATTGATGCTTAGTTGACTTTTTGCTGTACAAATAGGAAACGAAGGTGGGTGGTTTATAAGTGTTCCAAGAAATTAGTAATAAATTTCTGTGAGAATTTCCTCTCTTCTTTCGTCACTTATTATATGTATATATATTGGATGTCATATGGAAGGTAGTGAGTATTGACCTAAAATAAGCGGCTTTTTACGGGCTGATTGGCCGCTGGTCTCCCCTTGCATTATCTTTGTTATGTGATATTTTTAACTTTCAAAAATTGCCAACGGCTTGAAGAACATGCGTCTATTTCTAAACTCCCATACGTACTCACAGGCTGTTCTATTATTTGTCATAAAGTATTAAAGAGAGAAACAAAAAAGTTTCGAATAAAAATTTTCTTCGTTTGCCGCCTCAGTGGCCCATACCCAAACTCCTGAGATTTTAACTCACCTCTACTTAGCCAAGTGCTCACACTCTGTTAGTTTTTGTCGGCAATATTCAAGGCCACGCGAAAGTAACGTTCACGCACCCGACCCGATTTTAGGACGGAAGTTTGGCATTGAATCGTCGATGTGGAACCCTCACAAGTTGCCGCATAACAGCAAGCAATAAGGCGTTGCGAGGTGTCATGGCTGTGGCGATCAAGCCGAAGCGCCTATTTCTTGCTGAGCCGAGATTTTTTTATTGTACTAGTGTCCAAGTAAAGTATCGTCAGGTCATGGGACAGGAAACAACTCTTTTTCTATCACGTATAGAGCAGATAACCTGCGCTATCAACTACTGCACTTCGCCTCACCGTTACTTGCCTAAATCTACTTTTATCTCTGTAAAGCAGTGAATATAAAATGAGGCAGAGGACTGAGGCTTCCCAATACTTTCGTTCTCTAAACCCATCTACGACAGCCACCATCGAATATTTATAGTTATCTACGATAAGGGCTGGCCAACTACCTTATGTTAAACATGAAGTCGTAGCTAATAGTGTTGTTAGGCGTAGACTTTTATTTCGTGCAGTGCTATTTCTTTGGGACCGTCAACTTGGATG